TGAATTAAGGGTTCACATTGAACCTAACATCAGTACCAGTAAGTGTAATGCGATCGACCGGAATCAAAGATCGGTTATTTGGGATTTTGCATCAATCATGATAGAATTTACCAAAGTTATGACAAACCTTTGGAGAATGATTGAAGGTTCTTCAGGTAGCATTTTTCTCGTCTGTATGGCTTGTTTTCGCCATTCAGAAATAAGCCAAAACTCAAACGTATTCAGACAATACTGTTGTTTAACAGTTCATCAACGAAGTCAGAACAGATAGTTAACTGGCTGGAGGAAAACATTTGGTTTATTTCGCGAACCTCGGGGTTATATATTAGCGTTTTGTTGGATAACTCTTGTTTTGCCTTCTTAAACAAATAATTACTGAAAACGGAAAAATTCCGCTTCTTTATGGGCGGTGAGGGAAAGGGTGGGATTGTTGGAGTCCATCGGCTCCGTTTTCTAGTGGCGATGAAAATTTGTAATAATCCTGCAAACGACAGGATCTTTTCTTCCCTTATTATCGTGTGGTGTGCTGAAAACGAATATATCTGAAGTAAGTAACGGTGTGCATTGCACTGGGGTGAAAGTCAACATCCAGAAAGCAAAACGTAAACATTCAAGCACTACTTTTGATTAGAAATATCTAGGCGCTATTGCAAGCAATAATGAAGAAAACCAAGTTGTTTTAGCTTTCAGTCTCGTTAGGGTCAATATATGCGAAGGTGGCTAGGTGTTCCAAAAGTGAATATGTTTGAACCACATCGTACATGATTCAGGTCATTACCCTGCTTTGCACGAGTTTCAATGTGGAATCGGGACCTATTCGCACATCGATCTTAAAAGTAATTTCCCGTTCAAATGCATCTAATGACAATCAGCTCAAAAAACTCATCACTCCCGTATGTACAGGCTTTTACAGATACCGATCACATATTTTAGTGTAGCGTTACTGAATATGCCCTGAAACAGGCGAAGTTCAACGCGTCAAAAAGAGGAACGTTTTCTTTCTGTCACTTTTTCAACGGTATTGAACACTTTATAAATTCCCATAACTAGGTACTTAGAATTCCTGGAGAGCTATTGTTCCACATGGAGGCCAATGGCATTTGACCACATTTTGGTTAGACCTTTCGGGTGGTATTTTTGATAACCTTCCTAAAGGTTGCACTCTTTACAACTTTGACCGTACAATCCAACTTGAGAATTCTATGAATGAAGTTGTTAGCATTTCAAAGTTGTTTTACCAAAAGGCAGAGATCGGCTCTCTCTGTTCTGCTGATCAAAAAGAGGCTTCGAATCGTCACGGATCTGGAAAGGTCATCACATCGTGCAACGTTGATTTGAAACAGACCGGATGGCCTATTCGTAAAATGTGCAACTCTCAGACGTAACATCCTAGGTTTTGGTACAAGTTGTATTTCGCCAAGTATGAACTTTACCGGTGATTCCTAGCAAAAATGTATCACGTGTGGAGTGCTACCATGAGTTCTAGTGTGATATTCACAATCTACGTTTTGAAGTGAAATCAAAAGCCATACTTATGTCTTCGAAATTCCGAAGACGTTTATAACTTTTCGTTTCTTAAGTGTCTCCTACTTACGAGGTTTCCCTGTGGGTAAGGTGTTCTGTGGCTTCAGGAGAAAATGTGATAAAATCGTTGATATACGCTAGAAAAAATACCTAGTCCTAATCAAATCGAGGCTGTTCGCAAGAAATCCGAAGTGTGTAAGCGTGGAAGTTACAACTGAATTCACTGTTATAAAAGCAGACAGTAAACTGATGGATTCATCGTTGGTTATGAGATGCAGAACTCAAGCTTACACAATGAACCCCATCTTATGTAGCGGCTTTATCTGGCTACTAATCTGAAGCTGTCGTGCTTTCATTTGAAACTGAATCGTCTAATATTATATGAAACACTCGCGACGACTACTTATATGATGGAACCCCAACTGAGGCTTTCTTAAGTTTTCCGCTGGACATTATTTGCATAAAATTCTACCAAAACGTGCATATTTGCAAACCAAAATTATCCATTTGTGAGCTTATCTGTCTTCTGATTTCAATGTAGCGTGACTTTGTAGAACATGTCACATGTGGGGTTTGCTCCCATAATACTTTCATCGAGATGCCAGTCGGAATGAGCTTTTTCGTAATGCAAATGACGTTCCGGTTTTTCTAAACTTCTGCCTTTGCGAGTGACTGAAATCATCAGTTCAGCTTTCGTCTTATCTGAAAGATTATTATTGCAGAGTCGAACGTCTATGACAAAAGGCAATTCTGACGAAAAATCCTGTCCTGCAAACCTTCAGAAGCTCCCCTGTGCTTCTGTTCATCAGATCAATTTGCAACGAAGTTCTATTAAGAAGTGCAATTTGGATGAAACCATGTGTTATGTTAACGGTCCATCCTGTCCAGGCTTATTTGTCACGAATTCGCGGTACTTGTGAATTGTACTGGGACCCAAACTGCCGAAGGCTATGCACATCCAAAATTCTTTGGTGGTTATGGATTTTCCAACTACAAAATATTCCATTTCACAATTGCTGTTAGTTTCGTATCAAGCTTCTATAATCAAGCATTTGTGAAATTTCATTATGAGTGTAAAAACGCGAACCCGTAAATATAATTTGACAGTTGGCGATGTCGGCGAAACAAAGGGTAATTTTGATTATTCTGTAGGCTTTATCGATTATCCTCTCTTCATACAAGATGAATGCCCGAATCACAATAAGATACCAAGAAATAAAAACTGTACACTAGTTTGCACTTGTTTAGAAGGAAACGTCAGCCCACATTTTGGAAAAAGTGAGCTTTTTCGTATCTGACTTACTATCCTACAACTATAAAGTTATTCTAAACTATCGACAATTGCTAACCTGAACTGTTGTTCATTGATTGGGGAGTTCGTGGATTACGTAGGCAGATTCCCATGTCACCAAAAAGCAGTACTAGGCGACAAACGGAGACCAACGAAGACACACGAACTAGCACTGGAATACTAATTACGGCAATAAAATGGACAGTATTAGTTTGGACAAGCATGGAAAATAAAAGTTGAATTTCAAGCAAACTAATTACTTATTATATGAGTTTTGAATGTCATTCACGGACGGAGTTCAATTAGACAAATCAATGTCGAAACCGATTTTATTCCTTTCATACATGAAGCGAATTACAGCGTAAGCGTTCCCCCCCGCCTCTCCCCGACTTAGTATATAAAGTCGTCAAATCCCAGAATAGAATAAACCATGATTACAAGATGATGTATTTTATGTGCAAATCCATGTTGTATTTACAATTTTGTCGTGGACTTAATTCACTATGTGCAATGTTTCCCACCGATAGACAATGCAACCTGCTTGACCACACGCATGACTCATCCAATCCGTGAGGATCACATTAGAGGAGGTGAGCGTTTGCAGACAGTGTTGGTTTACCAATAATTATTCATTCAAATCAAACCTCATAAAATGATCAGTTTCACTTACGTTAACACTCTGACATTCAACCAATTCTTAGAGAGATGAAACACGATAGCAAACTAATGCACGGTTTGACATTCGGGCTGTTCGGTCGTTACAATGTTTCACCCATAAACTGATTATCCTCGGATGTTATGGATTTTCCAACTGCCGAATATTCCATTTCATAATTACTGTTGGTTTTGTATCAAGCTTCTATAATGAAGCATTTTTGAAATTTCATTATGGGTGCGAGAGCGCGGAACCCATAAGTATCACTAGACATTTGGCGATGTCGGCGAAACAATGGGTAATTTTGATTGGTCTGTCGGCTTTCTCGATGATCCTTTCTTCATGCAAGATGAACGCCCAAATCACAATAAGATACCAAGAGAAAACTGTACACTAGTTTGCACTTATTTAGAAGGAAACGTCAGCCTACATTTCCGAAAAAGTGAGCTTTTTCTTATCTGACTTACTATCCCCCAACTACAAGGTTATTCTAAATTACCGACGATTGCCAACCTGAACTGCTGTCCATTGAATAAAGGAACTCGTGCATTATGCAGGCGGATTACCATGACAACGCAAACCAGTAACTGGGCGACAAATGGAGGCCAAAGAAGGCACGCGAACTAGCACTGGAGTACTAATTACGGAAATAGTATGGACGGTATACGTTTGGACAAGCACAGCAACCAGGAGTTAAATTTCAAGCAAACTGTTTACTTATTATACGAGTTTTGAATGTCATTCAATTACAGAGTTCCATTAGACAAATCAGTGTCAAAACCAATTTTATTCCTTTCATGCATGAAGCGAATTACAACGAAGGCGGTCACCCCTCCCTCCCCGACTTAGTATATAAAGTCGTCAAATCCCGGAATAGAATAAACCATGGTTGCAAGATGATGTATTTATGTGAAAATCAATGTTGTATTTGCAATCACATATTGAGTAAGTCAATATTGCCGTGGACTGAATTCACAATGTTCAATGTATCCCACCGATAGACAATGAAACCGCCTTGACAACACGCATGACTCATCCAATCCGTGAGGTTCAAAGAAGAAGAGTTAAGCGTTTGCGGACAGGGTGGGTTTACCAATCATTATTCATTCAAATCAAACCTGAGCGCACAGGCGTTTTATCTGGGAGCCAATAAAAGAACAGTTTAGTTACTGCGCTATGTTAATTTTTCCCATGAGTCCGCTCTGGTAGGTTCGAGAAAAACAGGGACGTATTGACTACGTTTTCCCACCACGAATCAGACAGAGGGGAACATTTGGCTCATAAGTTGATCAGTTTCACTTACGTTAACACTCCGACATTCGATCAATTCACGCAGAAATGAAACACGACAGCAAACTGAAGCACGGGTTTGACATTCGGGTTGTTCGGTCGTTACAATTTTCCGCCTTTAAATTGATTATCCTCGGATGTTTATGTCTTTTTTCATGGATGTGAATATATCAGGACAATCAGGGATGGTTGTACTTGAAAGTGGGACCCTCTCATTGGATATCCCATTGAACTTATGCAATGGGACTCGGAATTGGAATCACAGGATTTCGTCAAAGAAATATTCCAAACTTAAGACCCACAGTTTGCAGGCTACGTAGAAATGATGTGAAAGAATCAGGTGAGCAAATTGTTTTGTTTTTTCTCATGCACGGGTTACCTCTACTAAAATCGTCTGCCTGATTGAGTACTGTCATTTTTCATTAGGATTGGGAAATGTGTTGGTCGATTTCATTCACATTCATATTGTAGTTCACCAAAACATCTTTTTAGCACACGGCTTTTTCTTCGTGTTTACAAACAAATCACAACCGTGAGTATTTATGGGTTTTTCTAGTCAATGGCTCTTGCTACTTAACTTTTACATGTATGCGCGTTGCTCACGGTGGCAGGCGAGTTGCTGCATTGATCTGCCGAACGGCATACACCCATCATCCGTGTAGAGTGAAACTGTTCACGAAGAGATTTTGGATTGTGGTACGAACTGACGTCCGCAGAATCTCTCGGACAACACGATTCCATGAAAACTCAGCGGATACAGCTGTTATCACAACATGAACAACTGCATAATTTTCATGACCGTTCGTTCTCTAGATAGAACATTTTTTGTCCAAATGATAGTCTCAATGTTTTCCCTATAATCATGACTGTGTGGTGTTATCTCAATCCACTTGTTTGGTCTCTTATCACTGGAAAATGCTAGATTTAAGTTCGAACTCCATGACATGATGATTTGAAATGTTTAATATGAACGGACTGTTGAACCTGCTTGACACTGGACGACAAACATTAATTTGCAGCTCAATCATTCCTTTTACTTAGTGGAAAACCAAATATTCAGTTACAATGGAAGCTGGCCGGAAAATGGAACAATTCAACTTCACGCATGTTGTGGTAAGTTAAACAATTCTTCTGTTGTCGAAAAGGATTTTTGTGCTTTCATCCAAAGGTTCGTCATGTGGTAACAAGGTCTGGTTTTTCATCGAATGCCATGATATTATTGTGTAGCCCTTTGCTTCAGTGTAAGAAATCATTGCGGGTTGTTATGCCTGAAGTTCTTTGACGAAGGCTGGTTATGTCAAAGAGCGGTGTAGTTCGACGAAAAACTGGAAAAAGTCTGATAGAAATCATAATAATTAACTTTAGGTTCAGGTCCCAGGGAATATTTAGCAGAAACAACGGTTTCCTTCAATCAAACAAATAAAGACAGTTTCCGAAGATGTCGTAATCACACTCAAGTGCAGTTGATTGCATTATTTGCTTCTCGTACACTCAACAGCATTTTTCATAGTTTGAAAAACAGAAAAGATCAAACGTTATGAGTTAGCATATTTTCCTAGTCCGATTGATAAAACGTTCTGCGTTGTACGTCAGTATCATTATCTGTTTATTTTTACAGCGAAAAGTGCTGAATTCGCCAGGAACAATGGGCTCTTCGACTTCAGTGGGACAAATCAACGTGTGCTGTGTTGTAGTCAGTTTTTCACTATTGTTTGCTTTCTAAGCCTTAGTATATAATTAATTTCCATTAACTCAAATAGTTAGTAAAAATCTGTGTTTCAAAAACTGTGAAAACTTAGTGCCCACATAGCCAGATTAAAATTACATTTTCCTTTCGGAAGGTTGCATTTCCTCATCTCATTTCAAACAAACACAACAGTTTTTCCCCCTTCCAACTTGTTCAGACTTCTACTATTCTGTGCGTTTTGTTGAATTTTATTGTACACTTTCCACATTGGTGACCACAAACATCACTGATTCTTTTTCAAAACACGAACAATTTTCAATACTTCTTCAATGATATGTGCATACATGAGGATTTCTCAATCCTCGCGAAACGATTCCCCACTCTTCTGTCTTTTTCCTTTGTTCTTTGTATCTCTTCCTTGTTCACATAACCGATTGAATGGATTCATCGAAACCGGATTGTATGGAACATTTTCTCCCCATGCACACTGTCTGTTGTATACTTTGCACTTGTTTGCATTATTTTCCTGTCGATCTCTCGGATTTCGTGGCTCAATAAAATGGCTCTATTTCAGTTTGAATGAATGCTAGTTTCGTTACTGATCTTGCATCGTCGAGATGCTGCAAGCTGACCAAGGAGGATGATAACCAGTTGCAATCCGGTAACTTAAATCAGAAATGTTTACATGACGAGTTCCTTTTTGAGCAAGAAAGCAAAGTACAGTGATTCCCGTGTTCTAAAATGAAACTTCATAGATGAACAGACAGGGTTTTCGGGTTAGAATACATGTCAAGCTCTAAGCACAGCACACTTCATTTCAAAATTCACGCTGAATCAACTGTTGTTTATAAAAATTCGAATTGCAAAAAATATTCCGAACACTTATTCCGGGTCAAAATGTACTAATGAAACTAGTCCCAGTTTCGAAATTTCGGTTGATGAGATGAATATTTAACCTTCTATTAACGTTGCTCGCAGTTCATCGTTCAGTTTAAATAGAAACCTAATCGCCTTCCATGTAACTGCGTTTTTCACTCGATACAGTGCAGGTATTACACTGGTAAGCCTATCACAATTTCGGTGCAGCCAAGTGAAAGAATAAGAGAGCTAGAAGGGTCATAGAACACCGAATGGAATTTCTTGAGAAGAGACGCAGTTTGCCATCGAAGGATGCTGCAACCATGTTCATAAGGATTACCTGTGGGCGTGGCAGATGAACAACAAACACATTCAGCTTTGTTGAATAATCTTGAAGATGTTCAAGCAGTATGTAGGTCCAATTTTGGAGATATTCACTGATTCATGATAGCTTGAATCGTCTTCTTGGTCGCCTACATTTAATCACTGTTAGATTCGATATCATCAATGTGTACCAAGTGTATTTATTGGCTACAGATTTTACCTCCGTGCAAGAAAGCTTTTCAGGAAGCACTTGCTTACTTCCTAGCCTGACGGAAAATTGGTGTGCCTTCGCCTACAGCAAAGGCATACAGTATAGTTCTCGTTTCTTTCAGCTGAATTTTCAGCCTACCAACGGTAATCATAGTCTGAACTCACCTTAAGTAGTCCTGGTTCTGAAACAAAATACAAACATTTTATAAACAATGTGTCAGTCAAAATGGGCTCCTGATTAGCAGATGGGAACGCAAGTAAAGGAATGTGTGTATTAGTTTTATCAATAAACATAAAGAAGGATTCTCGGGCACCTTTCACCATAATAAATTGAATGCCAATCGGAAGTACCACGCAGTGAGCAGATGATGCACTGTCAACGCGATCTGTGAGATCTGTGAGATCATTCGAACCACCATAGTTGTAAACTGTCCCAATAATATGAGGTCATCGCCTACAACATGACCAACTTAATACTTATCACATCAATGTGGTGACGAGTGCAGCTGATACTTGTTTACCTAGTCCTGGTAAAACATGATTCGCCTGAATCGATGCCTGAGAAATTGTGCTGTTAAGTTATTTCTCAGAAATCGGGCATTAACTTCGGTTTCCAGCATAGCTACTTTAATATAGGGTATTTCTACCATACAAGTTATTCCGAGCGAGCCACTTAAGACAAACTGGTCATTATTGTGTAAGACGTACACAACAAAACGTTGTCAAAATTTTGAAAAATAGCTCTACCACAGTACTGTCCTTTATCTATGAAAGTGCTAATCAAGTAATATTTTTTCATCAGGTATCGTGTGATTGTTGACCACTCAAGTTCGTACATAATCGGTTCAGGGAGTGGGAGGTCAAAAATGGAGTAAGAGAATCGTCGTCGTCTTCGGTTCCGGTACAAAAAGCAGATTACATTTTCGATCGACAAACAACTAGTTGGTAGAATAAAACTCTTGGATTGAAACAGTGTAAAAGCTTTGCCAAAAATCTCATCCCTCGCAATACAGTGTAAATAACAGTGATCGAGAGTGAGTAGCTGTCATAAAATTATCTGAATAAAATCAAATTCAGCCTTTAATGAAGTATCCCTAATATTATGGACTGATTTGATACGCATAATAAAATAAGTTGCGCTATTTGGTGGTGCAAGGTAAAACCAGGTGATTTACATAGTAATTAGGTCGATCAAACTGTTCGTGAACTGGCGGACGCGATATCGGTGGATTGTCAATGTGTTCCGATTGTGACATATTTATTTGTATTACTCGCCAGACCTCATCACTCCGATATGTGAGAAACGAGATCATTCTAAACACCGTAATAGTAAATTATCCCAAAATACGAGGTCATCGTCTACAGAATGACCGGGATGATATGTATCACATCACTGTAGTGAAGATTGCAGCTTATACTGATTCTCTGACTCGGGGTAAAACTTGTCATAATTAGAATGAATCAATGCTTGAGAAATGTCACTGAAAGTTATTTCTCTACCAAAATTAGTTAATAAATACAGACTTCAACAAAGCATATATAATAAAGGGTATTTTATTCATACGATGTAATCCGAGTGAGCCACTGATGATAAATTGGCCTATTGTTGCATAAGATGTACAAAACAGAATGGAGTCACAACACTGGAAAAGCAGCTTTGCAATGGCTCTGTCCTCTGTCTGTGAAAGTATTAACCAAAAATAGTTTTTCATCATATTTCGTGTGACTGTTGACCAAATGAGTTTATGCATAATCACTGTTGGGAGTGGGAGGCCATTGGCAGAGTGAGAGAAGCGTCCTCGTCTGCGGCCTCGGTACAAGAAGCATATTATTCTCTCGATCGGAAAACTACATATTGGTGGATTCAAACTGTTTGACTTGGAACAATTAATAAGCTTCGCCTGGATAACTAAAGTCACTACCGATTCCACACAAAGCCCGTTGCTGCAATCAAAGGAGAGATTTGCTGTCATGTAATTATTTGGATACAAATAGTTCCAGCCCTTAGTTTGCTATTAGTAATACGGTCTGACGTAATACGCTTGATGAAACACGGTGCACTAGTGTACTCTGCAAATTAAAACCATCTGGTTCATTGAGAAACTATGTCGGGTAAAGTGTTAGTGATTTGATGGACGCCATGTTGCCGGATTGCCAATGTGTTCCGTCTCTAGGATATTTGTGTGCAGTACTCATATAATTGAAACACAATTCACTATGAGCAACCAAAATTGAAAACTTCTCGAAATCCCTCCCAGATTTATGGTCATTGATACAAGAGAAAAAAAGCTGATGTTGCTGCGTCACATAATTGGGTAAAGGGAATCGTGAAGGCGGGACATCCTTTAGCACAATTGCATGAGTCTATTATAAACCCAATTGGCTGTAACTTGAAGAAGAGTTCTAAATATGGCGGAGCTTTTGAAAATTTCGGTAATGAAATCTGTCACGCATTCAACAAAGTTATCATCATGGTGTAAGGGGCCACCTTAAACGGTTGTGTAACTGAAGTTCAAACTAGTGGCAGCGCAAAGGTTCTTAGAACGCACTGAAGCGGTACATATTCGTGGATGGAAATCCTGCTAACATGGTACAAGCTACGCAATGGTTCAAATGAGACAATGTTGTTCATGAAGCACATAAAGTGATTATTTCAAAAAAACGAATGTATCGTTTGTGTTTGAGAAACACCTGGAAGAAAATAGATGACGTTTAAATAGTCTCTGTTCTGCTGCGTTCTTGTAGGCAATGGTGTAATGGGAACGAGATCGTTGCGTCAGAGTATCGTCAAAATATTGGTTGGATGGGTATTATGCTGACGACGTCAAATGTGCAATCAAGTGATACTGAATTCCAAATGTGAGTGTTTAGTTGGTTGGGGCACAGCTTCAGTGGAGGTGGATCGTCACGCTCTAATTATCGCAGGTATACAAACAGTCCTGATTCGATTTCCAACTCATCAAACAGCTTAAAAAAGGCGACATATTTACCCTCCCATGTTCCCGAACGGTTCGTTACCTCGGAAGACCCACCGGACGCGGTTCATTTGAAGTACATTTTTCGATTTTCCAATATGTTCACAATGCTTGTTCAAATTACAACCATTTTTTGAATTTGCATGTTCTCTTTATGAAAGTAGCAGGCATACTGGGATGAAATACGCACATGAAAGCAACTTAAAATTGCAGTGGTTTATTCAGTTCGCGGAGGATGATCGCCAAGACGGAACGGCAGGAAAAAGTGCGTGAGCTGTTTGTATTACTGAAAGTGAAGAATCAGTAAGGGAATATTCCTTCAGGTATATTGTGGACCCAAATTAAAAGCATCGATAGAAGTAGCGTTTCAAATAGCTGTTACGTCTGAACTATGGAAAAAATGGTTCCCTACGTAGGTTTTCGCTTTGGTTTTGCCTTCGCCTTTGTCTTGTGCTCAGTTGGTGAGTCAGTGGATCCGGGACTGGTATTTAATAATTATTTCGCATGTATTTCACACCAACTCTAACCCAGACTGTCAACACAGATCTGCCTCTTCCATTTCAATATTTACCTAAGCGCATAGGAAACATGAACAAACTTTTTCCAGGCGGTTGTCCATGGTGTGGATCACCAGTTGACATAACCTTCCTCAAGTTTGTAAAATTGCTTGATCATCCATGTTT